AATGGCTCAGCAGAAAACTGAGCCTGGATCTTCCAGCTCAATACTTTCAGTCCTTGCTAATTTTCTGTGTGGTTTTACCTTGTCTGTCAAGATATCATGGCCTTGAAACGCATGTTGGAAAAGATGGGAGCAGCCAAGACCCACTTGGAACTCAAAAAGATGATCACTGAGGTGACTGGAGGTATGAGTGAAACCATCTCCTATGGAAACTTTGTTCGAATGATGCTGGGAAAGCAATCAGCTATCTTTAAAATGTAAGTATTGAGATTTTTTTTCTCAACCCACAGATTCCCAGCTTCATCCTTATCATGTTCTCCTGATATTGTGTGTGTGTGTAGTGGTTTAGTTGTCTTTAGTAGTTTACAGTGCAATGGTGGGTAGTGGGTACGTTGAGTTCTTCTGGGGTCACTTCTACATTTCCATATAATCCAGTACAAAGCAAATAATCTGGGTTTTATATGGCAGTGTAGATATTGGCACAAGTTTTCTGACTGATGGATGCAGGGCATTTTATGACCCTACCTGTTTCACTTGTGCATTGAACATAACCTATGTAAAGCAGAATTGGACTCAGGCCACTTCTATACTGCCATATATCAAAGCAGATAATCCACATTGTCTGCTTTGAACTAGATTATATGAATCTACACTGCCATATAATCCAGTTCAAAGCAGATATCCTGGATTTTATATGGCAGTGTAGATGGGGCACAGAGGAGGAGGCATCAAATAAATAATTGTAATAGCAATAATATAATTATAATTGTATAAATAATTGTAATAGCAATAATAATGTCTTGATTCTGCCTTTGCTCTTTCTCCAGAAGAAAGGTGGCACAGAAGTGAAATAAATTAATGATGAGGAAATACATACTCAGTGTCTCAATTTAGGCCCCTTCCACACAGCTGTATAAAATCCACGTTGAATTGGATTATCTGGGAGTGTGGACTCAAGTAACCCAGTTCAAAGCAGATATTGTGGATTATCTGCCTTGATATTCTGGGTTATATGGCTGTGTGGAAGGGCAGTTATACAGCCGTAATTTGCGCAAGTTGTGAATCCATGTCTTCCTTTCTTTTCTACAGAATCCTGATGTATGAGGAAAAAGCCAAAGAGAAGGCTGAGAAGCCAGCAGGACCCCCACCAAAGAAACTAATAGCAGATCTTCCTTAAAGACCTTCCCACCCACGCAATTCATATGATTTATTCCTGCATTCAGGTGGCTACTAGAACAACCAAAACATAGATAAACCTTTTTCTATTTTTAAAAAAGAAATCTCAAGAAAGGAGTTCATTCATAAGATGATCTCAAACATATGAGAGAATTATGACTCAGCATGTGTGTTTGGCGGGACGGGAGGTGTTCTTCCTATTTGTGGTTCTACATTTTCCTTCTTTCTCCATTTTAAAAACTGAATTGAGTTTATTCCAGACCAAAAATTGGAATTGGGGAAATGCAACCTATGAGCTGCCATAGCCCCCCTGATCCAATCTTCTTCTTTTCTTTTCTTTTTTGCTATGACCTGGAAAGTAATTTTACATGGTTTACAATACACCCCCAAAACATTTTGACCAAGTCTGTATTTTCATATCAGGAAATAAGATGGAAGTTTCCTACTGTAAAAAAAAAAAAGGGGGGGGGTCCGAAAAACCTAAAACAGAGCTTCAAATAGTAGTGCAATTGTCTTCCGTGCCCCCTTTTCTACGCAGGGCAATACGATAATGGACTCCAACTCCGGAAACACCCAATAGTTGCCCACCTCGCACTAGATGGTGTGACCTAATTCACAACACAAATAAAAAGGCCAGCATGTGTGGCTACCTACTCAGCTTATCAGAAGTGAATCCTATAGAGTTCAGGAACACTGAGCCTCTTTCTACACTGCCATATAATCCAGATTATCAAATCAGATAACCCACATTATCTATTTTGAACTGGATTATGGGTCTACACTGCCATATGTAGGCCTTTGATCTTTGATATTGTTGTTTTTAAATTGTTTTAAATTGTTTTTAAATTGTGTTAGATTTTAGCCTTTCTTGTAAGCCGCTCCAAGCCCCAGGGGAGTGGCGGCATATAAGTTTGAATAATAAATAAATAATATATAATATAACATAACATAATACAGTTCAAATCAGATAATCTGGATTTTATATAGCAGTTTAGATGGCAATATGAAATTGCACTGTCCAGAACTGTACACAGTGTTATTCCGGGTGGGTGAGATCTGGCCAAAACCAACAAAATGAAATTCAATGGGGACAAATGCAAGATACTCCACTTAGGCAGAAAAAAATGAAATGCAAAGATACAGAATGGGGGACGCATGGCTCAAGAGCAGTACGTGTGAAAAAGATCTTGGAGTCCTCGTGGACAACAAGTTAAACATGAGCCAACAATGTGATGCTGCAGCTAAAAAAGCCAATGGGATTTTGGCCTGCATCAATTGGAGTATAGTGTCTAGATCCAGGGAAGTCATGCTGCCTCTCTATTCTGCCTTGGTTAGACCACAGTTGGAATATTGTGTCCAATTCTGGGCACCACAATTGAAGAGAGATATTGACAAGGTTGAATGTGTCCAAAGAAGGTCTGAAGAACAGAGGAGGATCTGAACAACAAGTCCTATGAGGAGCGGCTTAAAGAGCTGGGCATGTTTAGCCTGCAGAAGCAAAGACTGAAAGGAGACACGATAGCCATGTATAATTATGTGAGTGAAAGTCATAGGGAGGAGGGAGCAAACTTATTTTCTGCTGCCCTGGAGACTAGAACACGGAGCAATGACTTCAAACTACAAGAAAGGGGTTTGAAGCCACCTGAACATTAGGAAGAACTTCCTAACTGTGAGAGCTGTTCAGCAGTGGAACTCTCTACCCCGAAGATTGGTGGAGGTTCCTTCTATGGAGGCTTTTAAACAGAGGCTGGATGGCCATCTGTCGGGGGTGCTTTGAATGCAGTTTTCTTGCTTCTTGGCAGAGGGTTGTACTGGATGGCCCACAAGGTCTCTTCCAACTCTATGATTCTATGAGTGGAGTTATGACTTCCCTTGATCTTGATGTTATACTCCTATTGATGCAGCCCAGAATAATATGGGCTTTTTTTAAGCTGCTGCATTACACTGTTGACTCCTGTTGACTATTCCTTCCCATGTTCCACACTTTCAACCTCTAATGTGCTCTTTCAACCCTGCTACTGTGATTGTGACACCTAGTTTTTTTCCTCTCTCTCAACTTGGTGCCATCTAGTGTTTAATCTTTCATTTACAAGCAAAAAAAAAAACAAAAAAACCAAAAGCCCTGGGTTCCACCTTTCAACCAATTTCGCTTTCTGACAGTGGTCTGATCCCTAACCTGTCAGATAAGCGGAAGTTTCCTGTGTTTCAGTTGTTGTTGTGTTCTTTTAATTCATATCCAATTCTACCCTATGACTTGAACGGTGTGACCCAATTGTTGATCTGGTTTGCGGATGACTAGGACATCTAGAAAAGGCAATCTTCCTTCATTTTCTTTTTCCATGGTGAACTGGATGTTTGGGTGGATGCTGTTAAGATGTTCCAGGAACCTGTTGTGTTCTTCTTCTCCATGGCTCCAAATGATGAAAGTGTCACCCACATATCTGAACCATATAGTGGGCCTTTTTGTTGCTGTTTCCAATTGGGTCACACCGTTTACAGAAAACCTACACACACAGATAGATATCTACATAAAAACTCCAACCATCACCCAAGTCAAAAAAGAAGCACCATTAAAGCCTTGGCAGACCGTGCAAAAAGAATCTGCGAACCCCACCTCCTCCAAGATGAACTGAACCACCTCAACTGGGCTGTGCCGTTTAAAGCGCCCAGACGCTTTAAAATAAAACTTTGACGTGCTGCTATCTATGTCTGGGCGAAACTGCTGGAGTCTTTCTTTAGGCAGATTGAGCTTTCTGGAATAACTGAGTCCACTTCAATCTTAAACAATAAACAGGGTATTTATTTACGAAGTCCTGGTAGACTTGGCTCAGCTTATCAATATTACAACGATCAATGAATAATAAATTCCATCTATATTAATAAACTCTATCTATATTCAGTTAAACTCAATTACTCTATCTATATATCTATATCTATATCTATCTATCTATCTATCTATCTATCTATAATCTATAGGTCTCAGTTAAACTAAATTACTCTATCTATCTATCTATCTATCTATCTAAAGTCTCAATTAAACTAAATTAAACTAAATTACTTTCTATCTATAACTAAATTGTTTTTGCAATGATATTTTCTGAGGTACCTGCCTGCCAACAGCACATCATGGATTCTTCCTAAAACTGAAGGGGCAGGGAGACCTCCAAAATGGCTGCTTCTATCCTGGAAACAGGGGCGGGCCCAAAGAGCTACTCTTTGGCCAATTATTGCAGAGGGCCTGAAAACTGGCTTTCCTGCCTCTGGCTGCTAACTTTTTAGGCCTTTGCAGAGGCTGCAGAGGCCTAGGAGAAAGGCAAGGGGCAACCAATTTAAGCAACCCAAAAAGACAATAAACCCAGTCTCCTGGGAGATGGAACACTGTGCTCTCCAGGCCAATGGAGACTCCACCTCAGACATCAGAAGAGCTGCAAGACCAAGAACAAGCCACGAGAGTAAAGATGAAGATCCACCCAGAGGAAAAGTGTTCTTGCCATACATCAAGGGAACCACTGACCGCACAGGAAAGCTGATGAGGAAACACAACATACAAACAATCTACAGACCCACCAAGAAAATCCAACAAATGCTATGTTCAAGAGGGATCCTCTCACCTCTGCAGGAGTCTACCATATACCATGCAGCTGTGGACAAGTCTACATAGGGACCACCAAACGCAGCATTGCCCAAAAACGAATCAAGGAACATGAAAGGCACTGCAGACTACTTCAACCAGAGAAGTCAGCCATAGCAGAGCACCTGATGAACCAACCTGGACACAGCATTTTATTTGAGAACACAGAAATGCTGGACCACTCTCACAACCACCATGACAGAGAAGCCATTGAAATCCACAAGCATGTGGACAATTTCAACAGAAAGGAGGAAACCATGAAAATGAACAAAATCTGGCTACCAATATTTAAAAAACTCTAAAATTACAACAGCACAACAACAGAGAGGAAACAAACAAGGACATCTAATCACCTCTCAACAAAAGATTGCCCAGGCACTGCCAGGCCATCAAATGCTAATCAAGGTGGTCAGTTGAAACATTCACACCTAGCTCCAGCAGACAAGAGTCCTTTGTCCACCCTGGTCATTCCACAGATATATAAACCCTTTTCCTAGTTCCAACAGACCTCATTACCTCTGAGGATGTTTGCCATAGATGCAGGCGAAAACGTCAGGAGAAAATGCCTCTAGACCATGGCCATATAGCCCAAAAAAAACTACAACAACCCATAGTAATCTAGATTATATATAGCAGTGTAGACAGGGCTAGCTGTATATAACATGGCCTTGCTTTAAGCATGCCCAAGGCCTCTTCCACACAGCTGTATAAAATCCATATTGAACTGGATTATATGGCAGTGTGGACTCAGATAATCCAGTTCAAAGCAGATATTGTGGATTATCTCCCTTGATATTTTGAGTTATATGGCTCTGTGGAAGGGCCCTATAGCCCCTTCTACACAACCACATAAAATCCAGTTTATCTGCTTTGAACTGGCAGTGTTGACTCATATAATTCAGTTCAAAGCAGATAAGGGGGATCATCTGCTTTGATTGCCTGGATTATATGGCAGTGTGGAACGGACCACAGGCCCCATCCATACTGTCATACAAAATAATTTCTGATCCCACGTTATCTGCTTTGAAGTGGATTATATGATGGCATAGACTCATTTAATCCAGTATTTATTTGTTGTGTCAGGACAACCAGTCAATTGTATTATATTTCTAACAGAACAAAACAAACAGACAGACAAAATACAAAATTTGCGAGTTTGGTAGTTGATTAAATGTCCTTTGACCAGTATCTGGCCACTTGGAGTGCTTCTGGTGTTGCTGCAAGAAGGTCCTCCATGGTGCATGTGGCAGGGCTCAGGTGCATTGCAGCAGGTGGTCAGTGGTTTGCTCTTCTCCACACTTGCATGTCGAGGATTCCACTTTGTGGCCCCATTTCTTGAGGTTGGCTCTGCATCTCATGGTGCCAGAGTGCAGTCTGTTCAGTGCCTTCCAAGTCGCCCAGTTTTCTGTGTGCCCAGAGGGGAGTCTCTCATTTCGTATCAGCCATTGGTTGAGGTTCTGGGTTTGAGCCTGCCACTTTTGGACTCTCGCTTGCTGAGGTGTTCCAGCGAGTGTCTCTGTAGATCTTAGAAAACTATTTCTAGATTTAAGTCGTTGACGTGCTGGCTGATACCCAAACAAGGGGTGAGCTGGAGATGTCTCTGCCTTGGTCCTTTCACTATTGGCTGCTACTTCCCGGTGGATGTCAGGTGGTGCAATACCGGCTAAGCAGTGTAATTTCTCCAGTGGTGTAGGGCGCAGACACCCCGTGATAATGCGGCATGTCTCATTAAGAGCCACATCCACTGTTTTAGCGTGGTGAGATGTGTTCCACACTGGGCATGCATACTCAGCAGCAGAATAGCACAGCGCAAGGGCAGATGTCTTCACTGTATCTGGTTGTGATCCCCAGGTTGTGCCAGTCAGCTTTCGTATGATATTGTTTCTAGCACCCACTTTTTGCTTGATGTTCAGGCAGTGCTTCTTGTAGGTAAGAGCATGGTCCAGAGTGACTCCCAGGTATTTGGGTGCGCTGCAATGCTCCAGTGGGATTCCTTCCCAGGTGATCTTCAGAGCTCGGGATGCTTCTCTGTTCTTGAGATGAAAGGCACATGTCTGTGTTTTAGATGGATTAGGGATCAGTTGGTTTTCCCTGTAATAGGCAGTAAGAGCACCTAGAGCTTCGGAAGCTTCTGTTCAACCATCTCAAAGCTCCCTGCTTGAGCGGTAATGGCACGATCATCAGCATAGATGAAACTCTCTGTCCCTTCTGGCAGTGGTTGGTCATTTGTGTAGATGTTGAACATGGATGGAGCAAGCACGCTCCCCTGAGGCAGGCCGTTCTTCTGTTTCCGCCATCTGCTTCTCTGGCCCTGGAACTCAACAAAAAAGCTCCTGTTTTGTAGCAGGTTTCCTATGAGGCGGGTGAGGTGGTAGTCCTTTGTGATATTATACATTTTTCTCAGGAGGAGGCGGTGGTTTCACAGTATCATAAGCCGCTGACAGGTCTATGAAGACAGCTCCTGTGATCTGCTGCCTTTCAAAGCCATCTTCTATGTGCTGAGTCAGGTTCAGCACTTGTGATGTGCAGCTTTTGCCTTTCCTGAAGCCAGCTTGCTGTGGAATCAGACATGGGTCTATTTTTTCCATAATTCTATGCAGAATGAGTCTCTCCAGAACTTTGTAGAGGTGGCACAGCAGGGAGATTGGTCTGTAGCTTTTTGGATCATTACGGTCTTTGCCTGGCTTCAAGATGGCAATGACTCTTGCTTTCCTCCAGATTTTGGGGATCTGACAGGATGCAGTGCAGTTGTTCATCAGCTCCAGTAGCCAGCACTTTGCTTTTGGGCCAAAGTTCTTGATTTGTTCCATCCGTAGATCATCCAGGCCAGCTGCTTTGCCATTCTTACATTTATTGCGATGATGAAATGATAGTGAATGGCTTTTGTAGTAATTGTTTATTAACTGTGTAATGTGTGGGCTGTTAATTGTTTTTATATTGGCATTGAATTCTTGCTGTTCTTCTTTGTTGTAAACCGCTGTGAGTCGCCTTCGGGCTGAGAACAGCGGTATATAAGTAAGGTAAATAAATAAATAAATAAATAAATATTGAGAGCCATGTCCAATTCAGTAGATGTAAAGGGTTTATGAAGGTTGTTGATAATGCGGCATGTCTCATTAAGAGCCACATCCACTCTTTTGGGGTGGTGAGATGTGTTCCACACTGGGCATGCGTACTCAGCAGCAGAGTAGCATAGCGCAAGGGCAGATGTCTTCACTGTGTCTGGTTGTGATCCCCAGGTTGTGCCAGTCAGCTTTCGTATGATATTGTTTCTAGCACCCACTTTTTGCTTGATGTACAGGCAGTGCTTCTTGTAGGAAAGAGCACGGTCCAGGGTGATTCCCAGGTATTTGGGTGCGCTATTTAATCCAGTTCAAAGTAGATAATGTGGATTATCTACTTTGATAATCTGGATTAGTGGTTCTCAACCTTCCTAATGCCATGACCCCTTAATACGATTCCTCATGTTATGGTGACCCCTAACCATAAAATTAGTTTCATTGCTACTTCATAACTGTCATTTTGCTACTGTTATGAATAGTAATGTAAATATCTGATATGCAGGATTTATTTTCATTCACTGGACCAAATTTGGCACAAATACCCAATACACCCAAATTTGAATACTGGTGGGATTGGGGGAGAGTATTGATTTTGTCCTGTGGGAGTTGTAGTTGCTGGGATTTATAGTTCACCTACAATCAAAGAGAATTCCGAACTCCACCAACGATGGAATTGAATCAAACTTGGCACACAGAACTCCCATGACCAACAGAAAATACTGGAAGGGTTTGGTGGGCACTGACCTTGAGAATAAAGTGAAGTGAAGTTTTGGGAGTTGTAGTTTACCTACATCAAGAGAGCACTGTGAACTCAAACAACGATGGATCTGGACCAAACTTGGCACGGATTCTCAATATGTCCAAATGTAAACACTAGCAGAGATTGGGGAAAATAGTCCTTGACTTTTGGGAGTTGTAGTTTATTTATTTATTTTATTTATTTATTTGCTTTATTTCTATACCGCATTTTTCAGCCCAATCAGGCAACTCAATGCGGTTTACACGATACAGGTTATCACAACAATGTCATAAGCAATTAAAACACATCATATACAACAGACAAAATCAACAACAATTATTATCAAATCATATCATAACGCCTCAATGAAATCAGATCCGTTCTCATAATCCTTGTGCCAATCCTATGTTCGATTTTACCGTCTTCCTGTGTTCAGTTGCACTGTTCATAAAGCCAAGTCTTAACCTTCCTCCGGAACGCCAACAGCGAAGGGGCCTGTCTGATGTCTACAGGTAAAGCATTCCATAGCCGAGGGGCCATCACTGAGTAGGTCCTGTCCCTCGTCCCTGCCAAACGCGCCTGTGACGCAGGCGGGACCGAGAGCAGGGCCTCCCCGGACGATCTTAATGTCCGCGCTGGTTCATAGGAGGAGATGCGTTCGGAGAGGTAAGAGGGGCCAGAACCGTTTAGGGCTTTGTAGGCTAATGCCAGCACCTTGAATTGTGCCCGGTAGCAAATTGACAGCCAGTGGAGCTGGCTCAACAGAGGAGTGGTATGCTCCCTGAGTGCCGCTCCTGTTAACAACCTGGCTGCCGAGCGCTGGACCATCTGAAGCTTCCGGGCAGTCTTCAAGGGCAGCCCCACGTAGAGCGCGTTGCAGTAATCTATGCGGGATGTAACCAGAGCGTGGACTACCGTGGCCAAGTCAGTCAATTTATTAGGCCCGTTCAATACAGCTGTATAAAATCCACACTGAACTGGATTATATGGTAGTGTGGACTCAGAGTACCCAGTTCAAAGCAGATATTTTCCAACCCGGCTCCATGATTGCCTAAATTGCCCTTTCAAACAACCACTTCCTTCCTCCAGCAACACCTGAATGTTTGCAAAACTCCTGGACTTGAGGTTCTTTTCTTTTCCCTTCCTTGCTTTAGCTCCTCCCCTCACGCAACGTGAAGGGGCGTGGCTTCACTGCCGCCGCCGGGCCCTGAGACCCGGATGGCCGTTTAGTCGGTGCTTAGACGCCGAGGCTGCCACATCGGCCCTTGGACAAAATTACAAAGCAAAGGGGGAAACCGGGGGAGGGTGGGACCGTGTAATCCGCCGTCATCCTCCGTCTGGGACGCCCATCCGCCCCCGGAAAGCTCGCCTCCGGAGAGAGCGGACTCGGCCCGATCCGACGAGGTGAGTCTCGGTCCCGGTACGTGAGCGGCAAGCCTGCCTTGAGAGAAAAAGCGGCGCTGGGGAGAGTGGAGCCCGTAGAACGTTCAGGCCTCCGCCATCTTGTCCCCTACTTCATCCTGCCTTCATCTCTTATCCCCCCCCCCCCCCCAACTCAATCCGCTACCATCCGCCTTTGGGGCCTTGCTTTCGGAATCTTTTAGCCAGACCTGCCTTTGGCCCAGAGATTCTCCTTATTGTTCGCGGTGGGTTTGGGGCCCCGAAGTGAAGCCTTCCCCGAATAAGGGACGCCTTTAAAGAGGGACGGGGGGAGGCTTCGGAACAAGAGAGGCCTGTGGGAATGTTTGGATTCAAATGGGAGTCAGTTAGGCCTTCGATGTCAATATTGGGGTGGGGAGGGTTTCCCTTATTATGAAATGGAGGCCTAGGCTGGGCCTAGTGGTAGTTTAATCCCCTACATTTCCTTCTATTCTAGTCTTCCAGGTCTATTACAGGCTTCATTTGGGGGCAGGAGTGCACTAAGGGGGGGGGATGTTTTGTTTCCTCACATACAACCCTCCAATTTGTGTTTCAGCCCCCCCAAAAAAACAATTTTGTGTCCCAACCCCCCACCAAATATTGTGCATCCCCTTAGTTTTCTGTCTCAATCAGTTTTGTGCCTCAATCCATCCATTTCTTCTCTCTCTAAGCCCCCCCAGTTGGATGCTTTGGCCCCGAACACCCCCAGTTTCAAGCTTGTTATTGTCAGCCCCCCAATGTTGTGTCTCTCCTCCAACCCCCCAATGTTAGGCCTTGCCCTTAACCTCCCAATTTTATATCTAGTCTTCCCAATTTTATGCCCCCCCCCCCCAGTTTTGCATCTCATTTCACCCAAGCACCCCAATTTCATGTCTCAATCCCCAGTTTGGTGTCCCCCCACTAAGCCTCCAATTTGATGTCTCACCCCAATATGCCTTGCCTCCAATTTTGCATCTAGGCCCTCAGTATCAAGTCTTGCCCCCACTTCTGTATCCCACCCCCAAATATGACTTGACTCCCATTGTGTGTTTCACCTCTCAGTATCATGTCTTGCCCCCAGTTTTATATCCCACCCCCAATATGTCTCGCTGCATTGTGTGTCTCACCTCTCAGTATCATTTCTTGCCCCCAATTTTATATCCTGCCCCCCATATATCTTGCCTCCAATTTTACATCTCACCCCCAATATCATGTCTCACCCCCAGTTTTATATCCTGCTCCCCATATGTCTTGCCTCCAATTTTATATCTCACCTCCAATATCATGTCTTGCCCCCTGCTCCCCATATTTCTTCCCTCCAATTTTACATCTCACCCCCAATTTTATATCCTACTCCCCATATGTCTTGCCTCCAATTTTACATCTCACCCCCAATATCATGTCTTGCCCCCAATGTTACATCCTGCCCCCCATATGTCTTGCCTCCAATTTTACATCTCACCCCCAATATCATGTCTTGCCCCCAATGTTACATCCTGCCCCCCATATGTCTTGCCTCCAATTTTACATCTCACCCCCAATATCATGTCTAGCCCCCAATTTTACATCTTGCCCCCCATCTGTCTTGCCTCCAATTTTACATCTCACCCCCAATATAATGTCTTGCCCACAATTTTATATCTTGCCCCATATGTCTTTCCTCTGATTTTACATCTCACCCCCAATATCATGTCTAGCCCCCAATTTTACATCTTGCCCCCCATCTGTCTTGCCTCCAATTTTACATCTCACCCCCAATATAATGTCTTGCCCACAATTTTATATCCTGCCCCCATATGTCTTTCCTCTGATTTTACATATCATCCCCAATATCATGTCTTGTCCCCAATTTTATATCCTGCCCCCATATGTCTTACCTCCAATTTTTCATCTCACCCCATAGTATCATGTCTTGCCCCCAATTTTACATCCTGCCCTCCATTATGTCTTGCCTCCAATTTTACGTCTCACCCCATAGTATCATGTCTTGCCCCCATTTTTATATCCCCCCCTCCATTATGTTTTGCCCCTGCTTTATATCCCACCCCCATTGTATCTCTCGCCCCTCAGTATCAGGTCTTACCCCCAATTTTATATCCCACACCCCAACATTATGCCTTGCCCCCAATTATATGTTTCATCCCACCAACCCTCAGTGTTTGTCTCACCCCAAAGCCCCCAATTTTTGTCTCTCTGACAAACCCCCAGATCTGTGCCTCCCCAATTGCATGTCTCATCCAAACCCCCAATTTCTTCCCTCACTGCCAACTCTCAATTTTGTGTTTCATCCCAATCCTTAATATCATTTGATACATTTTGTGTGTGTGTATGTCGTCAAACCAAAGATGGCAGCTCAAACTGAGCTGCTGGAGTAGTCATTTGTTTTATTATTATTATTATTTTAATCCTATTTTTTATGTGGGGAAGGGAGGAGGAAATGTCAGGATCCGTTGTTGGACCGGAGGATTCCTTTCTCTCATTGTGTTTTGCCTTTATCGCTGTAGCTGGTAGGCAAGGGATGGAAGGGATTTAATTTGTCTCCAAGCCAAAATGCCAGTTTTGTATGTGTGGGCAGAGGCACTCTTTCATCCCAGCATACCTTCAATACAGTATCGACATATAGGTGGTTGTTGTAATAATATTGAGTTAATCGAAACTCGTGTTATTGAAAAATGCTGTTTAAAAACTCACCCCCCCCCCCCAAAAAAAAAAACCCTACTAGCAATAGCTAAACCTGTTTCAGGGAGAGAGGGATTGTTTCATAGAAACTGGTTTGCCTGCTGCTTTTAAAAAGCATTTTGTAATGTCTTTGTAGTTTGCAGTATATAGACTGCATTATTTTTTTTAAAAAAACTCTATTTTTTGCCAGCAGGCACAGCCTGCTCTGTAAATAAAATAATGTATTCTAGAGAGAAAAGACAAATGTCAAGATAGATGAAGGGAAAGGGTGGGATGGGAGGGGAGGAGGTGTGGCAGGTGTTCTGTTCAGGATTTTGTGCAGCATTTAATATATGGAAACGGCATCCAAGCAAACCTCTTGGTTCCCAACTGTAATACTGTTCAGAAAATGAAATTATATTCTCAGCTTGGGGGAAAGAGATCCCCTAAATAAAATAGCCGTGAAGTTACTGCCCTGTTATAATTCTGAGATGAGCCATTCGGATTCCCATAAAATGCCATTTTACTGCAGCTGCACATTAAAATCTGAACTGGTTTTAAAAATGGAGTGTTTTTTTTATGTTGGCTTTGAAATGGCAGCGAAAAATCTAGACGCATTAGTACTGGGCGGCTGATACCCGAGGCTTTTCTATGTCTTGAAATCCAGTCAGTCACAAATCTTTGTGTTTAGGGCAGATAAATGCTATCTCCTTGAGGATAGTGCTGAAATCAGGGGTGTGCCTTTGGTGAAAAAGGAAGGCTGGTGAGTAGATCTAAACCTTGTGTTTATTGGAACACAAAAACCCCACAACAGGAAGAGTTCTCTTGCCATTGGGGGAGGGGTTAACAAAATATTAATAGGTTGTCATCACATACCCTGCAGTTTGGAAATGGATGTTAAATAATACAAATAGAATTAATTTGGCTTAAAATGGAGTTTGACTTTCCCAGCATGGAAGCGGTAAGATGGGATGGCAGTGATTTCTGGGTGTATGCTGACACAGAGAAAAAAAGGAAGCAAACATGGACCCCTTTTATTTTGGAAGCATTCATTCTAAACTGGGTGTTGTTTAAAACAAATAGGTGTATTTATGCAGCAGTAAGAAAACAACTCCCCTTTCCAGCACAAAGGCACATATTAGATAATAGTGGAAGCCAAGACAGCTTTTTAATGAGTATCTTGACTGGGATTTAGTATGCGTTCCAAGGGCACACACACACACACGTTCATGCACACAAAAGGCATAGTAATTTTTATACATGATTAGAGATGAAATGAAGTGGCCAACTCTGGCATTTCAGGGCAAGTGAATTTGCCATTTATTTGCATGTGTCCTCAGTGTATCATAGTGAAATGATAGCATGTTGAGATGGGTTGACTTCCCTTCCCTCATAGCCTTGGATCTCATTTTTTTTCTAGTTTATTTTGGGGATGGAGATGAATAGTTAATGCTTTCCTTGGTTCAGATGGGTGATGTAAAAAAGGGGTTCTTCTGGCATCTTCTTACTTGACTGATGGAATTTTGGTTTTGTTTTCCTTGGCTATTTTGATAAATGCTGTTTTTTTGAATCTGGTTTCAAATTGGGAGTGCCTTTCCTGATGTCCAAATCCGTTTGTCTGTAATGCAGCTTTGGGATTCTGCAGATAAAATGAATATATTAATAATTAATAATTGCTGGTTCAATATCAAGATGGCTTTGAAATGGGAGGCCTTTCTTTTTCCTTTCAAGTAACTGGACAAAAACCATTAAACAGAAGTGTTTAAACTACTTGCATTATTAGTCATGTAGATTTATGTACTTGTTAAACATGTAAATTTATAATAAATAACCAAAAAGGTGGTATACTCTTGTAGTTTGAAAGGATGACATCCAATCATATTCAGCAAGATCAGAAAATGACATTCTGAAAGGACTGTATAAATAATTATCAGCTGCTGTGTGCTATTTTTAAAACTGCTCCTGGCTTGTTTTTGCTCAGGTGCCATTATATCTGATTGTGCAGTGCTGTGGGAATTGGACATCTTAGCTATGCATTATGTAGGGAAGATGTAAAAGTGTCTGTGGCATTATTTGCTCTTCAAAAAGATAAAGCAAAGTAAAACCATCTTAACTTAAAATCATCTAAAATTGACACACGGGAACAAATGTCATCTATTATGTGTGGCTGAAACAAGCTGTCGGGGGGGGGGGGGCAGACTGAACAGAGCCACTTCCTAAACATATTGGACATTTGGCATTCTAAGGTAATCTGGTAGTACCAGTTAAGGTATTGGCAGTTTAAATGGATTTAAATAATGAGCAAGTAGAATTGCCAAAGTACAATGTGTATCAAGAAGGATATGCAT